TAACTGAAAAACATTAATAATTTTTGCAGAAGTATGAAAATTAGTAACAGAATCATTTGCCATGATTTCATTTACGTATTGATTCTCATAATAAGACTTTTGCCTTTATTATATTTTTCTTTTCCAGCCTGTCTTTGTGACCTGGCCCATCCCTGAAAACTCAGTTTCTCTGTTTGGAGAGGACAGGAACAGAGCCCAGATTTTCAGATTTCCTTTCAGCAAGGACTTTTTACTTTTCCAGCCCTTTTCCTCATGAAAATAACTTTGAAGATCCTTACTAAAACTAATTGAGAAGGTTGAAAGCTTGCCTCAGATGTTTTCCCCTCCTAAAGCTTATTCAGAAGCCTCCTAGAATTGGGCTTTAGTGTCTGTGGGCTGCTCAAATCGAAGGACAAATCCTCAGAGGTGCTGAGCAGCTCCAGCTACAGACTTGGCTTCTTGTTAGTAGTGGCTTCCAGCAACATCTGCAGCTCCTACAGGGATCAGGACTTAGTGGCTCTTTGCAGCTCCCAACAGGCATTCATTCAGGGCTGATACATTTTTATATTCAGTTTCACTTGCATTAGGATGTTTTCAAAAGCCTGTCTAGAGTGCAGTAACTCTGCATGTTGCTGAAGATCCTTCTGCAGCTGGGTGCTGTGAAGAATCAGGGTCTTACAGCCAGCTAAAGCCCCTGATTCTGTTTGCAGTCTCCACTTGACAGTTCCCTTGCTTGGACAGAAATGTATTTTGGGGAACCTTAAGCCTAAATTATTGCCCAGTTTGATGTCTCCTCTCCAGTAGTAAGCACTTTCACTTGGTGATGTTGACAGTATGACCCAGGACCCCTCCTCTCTCCTGTCCTTGTCACAATCACCTCTCTAAATGCTTAGATGCTACATATTCAATGTCTTGAGTTTATGCACTGAGGAAAGTGGGCTCCTAAAATTATAAATGCTGCTTTCAGTCTGCTTAGCATGTCATTTTACTGCCACAGACAGGACTTTCCCTTCTCCCTCAGATGACTTCTGCTGAGAAGCTTGATTCCAGTTTCTGTTTTCTGATCCACATCCAAATATTCTCCTTTTTCTATCTCCTTTTAGTGAAATCCATAAAAAGTTGCTAAAGCCAAGGATCAAATGTAGCAAATAAAGCCATGACAACCCTGTAATAGACTATTTCTGGTCTCACACTGGTATAAACTGGCAATAACTGGCAATATCCATAATTACCCAAACTTACATCAAGCAGACTGGAGAAGCAACCTGCCATTTGTTACACAGAACCTTAACTAGAAAAGGTGATCTGAATAGTAATAGGATAATATATTAGATTTATATCATGTTTTGGTGGACATAAAGTTTTCTAAGCTGAATCATTAACTCTGTTTTACAGATGAAGACATAAAGTTGAAGTGAGCTGCCCAGGTTTGTGCTGCAGGTAAGTGGCTCAGCTCAGAACAGTCCAGTGAATTGTCTGGAGAGCTCTTTTGGCTCCCTTATTATTTACCTTAGAAGTCTTCAAACGGTGAAATGAAAGAGAAGAGGACATGAGAGGAAATTAAACCATACAAAGACAACTAGTCAGCCAACTCTTCCTTCTCAAAAACACAAAATAAAAGTTTCATTCAATACCAACAAACCCAGATGTCACCAATTAAGAGCAAAAGTAGAAACAGACAATTCAGGCCTTTTGTTGTTGTTTTTTAAAGTGGTTTTTTTATTGAAACCCTATACATACACATAGGATGAAGATCAGACTAATAATACAGATTTTCAATTTCTGGTCTTTCTTTGTGATAGCACTCAGTTCTTTGTTTGCCAAGAAAAAGCTTAAATACAAATAAAAATCAGAGTACCAAATGACAAATTCCAACACTAAAAAAATGAATAAACCAGCAAATGATTTTCTAAATCCCAATTTCCAATAATAGCACTGTACATAAAGAAATAAACAAGCTAAAAAATATTTCAACTCATTTGCAATGATACTTGACAGTCAAGTGTTTTAGTCTTTTCAAAATATTAAGAGATAATTAGGCTATTTTTTTGTGTAAAATCTTCATGTGGTTGTTTCATTTCCCTCCTTGCAAATCTCTCTGAGTGCTCTCATGTGTGACTTAGAAAAGCAGCATGCATGGGCTATTGCTGAGCACAGTTTGGCTTCAGCTCTGAACTGGAAGCTGGACTTTGTTCCAGGCATGGAGTCTCCATGAAGAGCACATGAGGAGAGAAGATGCTCCACAGGAGCTACGGATGTCCCTGGTCCATGGAGTCACCTGGAGGAGTCTGAGGCCAGCCAGGAAAGCACTGAGGTGAGGGGTGTGTGGTGCTGACTCTGCTGGGCTGGTGATCCAAAGGAAAATTTATGGGGTGGGCTTTTAAGTGTTTTTCTGTGGAATTTGTTGCACAGCAAGACCACGAGCTCCTCAATTGGGTAAATGATTTAAATCTGGTCCTGGGGAAGGGGCATGGCCTTGGGCATTCAGGTATAATGAAACACACACAGCACACGTGTGGTAAAGCATGGCACTAAACATCCATTCACACATTCTGCCCTTTGGCTGGCATTATGGAAGTGTTCACTCAGGGGCATCCTTCCTTTCCAAAAATAAACCTGGGACTGATTATAGATAGCTTTGCACCAGAATCATGTGAAACTCGTGGGTTTGAGTTCAGAGGAAACGTGGGAGGTTCTTGTTATGATTTTAAGTTCACTTGAATTTGAAGCTCAGGATGAGATTTAGGGAGGGGAGGACTGAACACAGGCGGATCCACAGGAAAGAATACATTCAAACTGACCCTTGTGAAATGCAACTGTCAATGGCTTAAGAAGAAATCCTCACCCAAAACATTAAAACAAATCAAAACACGTTACTCTCTCTTAAAAGTCTGACTCTTAACACTACCAAATATCCCCTTTTCCACTCTAGGCAATACCATTTTTTAGGAAAAAAACCCCTAAAATAGAAAAGAAAATGCATCATATGTTGCCCAATGTCCATCCCCACAGCAGCTCTAAAAAGCAGAGGAAAAGTATGTTCTAATTAATTTATAAACAAAAGATTATTTCCTGCACTGCCAGCAAAAATCCTGTTTGCCGACAAGGTTCTGGCTTCAAACATTATCAGCAACTGGCAGGATGAGTCCTTTTATGTAAATGAATTCATTATTATTAATTTCTGCTGGTGCTGAACGATTTATGAACTGCTTTTCGAATATGGAAAAGTGGTTCATGAATCAGAGGGGAAAAAATGTTCAAAAAGTCCTGGGTCGATAAATAACAGTAGTCATTCATGAATCCCGCCCATGGTGTCTTTTATCTTCAGTAGGGAGAAGATCAAAATGATAAAATAGTAATGTGCCAACAAAAAAGGATTGAATGGGCAGAGACTGGTAACATTGTCCTCTCCGAGCCTTAATGGGCAGGGATGAATGGTGACAGACCATCCTTCACGAGCAGGCAGCTACTGACTGATTCTCCCAAGGTGAAGGGCTCCTTTTTCTTGCCACACAGAGCCAGGATAAGAGGCAGCTGCTGAGCAGAACCACATATGCCCCTGCCCCACAAACCTGGGCAAGCTGTGGGCAAGGGATGGTGTTGTGGCATGGATAGTTGTTAATGTGGTCAAAGGCAAAGAGGCAGGAAGGGCCTTTGTTCCACAGAGATTTTTATTTCAGCCACACGCATGGATAGTCCAGGGTCAAAGGTAAGGCAAAGGAACACCTCGTGGTGAGGGTCCAGGCTCAAGTACATGGGTGGTAGAGGTGGGAAGAGCATCAGAGACCAATTATCAGGGATAATAATGGGGATGATACCCAGGTGAGGTTAGGGAATGGGAGCCAATGGGAGATAGAGTGGGAGTGACTGAAAGGCTGAGGGACAGGGAGGGGGCACAGGGCCAACTGAGGGAACAAAACTGAACAGGGTTTAGAGAAGCCCCTTGTGTCTCCCTAACTAGGGACTAGACTGCCTCTCAGGATCTCCACAGGATAGGTTTTGCTTCTCGAGGAATACCCCCTGCCCTGGGCAGGGTAATTGCAACCCTGCCAGCAGCCTGCTGCTTCCCCCACATCTCCTACACCTCCTTACTGAGAGTCTTCCTGGAGCTGGCACCCAGCTCTTCATGCAAGGGAGTGCAGAACCAATTGCATTGTAAAGACTCTCATTTTAAGATGAAGAGAGATGAAAAGTACTTGATTGAAAGTGAGAAATCTGGCAGCTGTTCATTCCTGTTCTCTGAGCACACCACCAGCCCTGAGCAGACTATGAGCCTTCAGGACAGCACAGTGCAACAACTGACACTGGCCTCACTTAATGGAGACAGAGCTTCTCATCTGTGTTTGAAGAAATCAGACTGAAACTCAAAATACTGTGTGTACCAGGACTGAGTGATATGTTCTCCTTTAGGATCTTCTCTGATATGCAGGTCACCCCAGAGAATTGGGCCAAATTTATTTAATTTCATTAAAATCACAAAGTTCTGCCCAGAATGAGTTTAGCCCATTATTATTTCAATGCTTAATATAGGAAAAGTCTATAAAAACAGCGTAGAGAAGGCCATAAAAAAATCTATTCTCTAAGTAGCTTGTCTTTCTACAATTTTGATATACAAAGAAACTATAGCTGCATATTGTGATTGTTTGCCCTTAAATAGCTTTGCTCAGCTAAGAATTTCAAAGTCTTTTCAGGTATTAGTCAAAACATCCTGTGGGTTATGAGGCATTAGCACTAAAGGTGAGGTAAATGAAGGAAAAGCTACATGCACAAGGTCTTGAAAAGATTTTGGCAGACTCAGTAGTCAGTCTATAATAACTCCTGATTTTTCCTGTGGAACCAATAGTCAAAAGTATCTTCCAGCAGGGGAAAATAAAATGACAGGCTTGTAGCTGGTTTTTAGCCTTTTTCTTATGTAAAATATGACCATTTTCTTTATTTCAGATTGCCACAGGACAAAATCTTGTGCTTCTGAGCTCAGCAATGAAGTTTTAATCACCCCAATATACATCTTTCCACGATATATATTTTTCTGTCTACCAAAGACATAATGGCTGCTCCTTTTATGGGAAACCAGGATTTAATCCAGTAAGTCTGTGAGAATCAATATTCTTGTGAAATGACACCATGTTGAAGTTATTTTATGTTATGTTGATGGTTAGCTAATTTTGTAATGGAGACATTTCTTCTAGAAGCAGACATAGTATAATTTAGTGGTAAAAACGTCAATCACAAGGGGTTGAACACTTATGTCAGGGCAGGAAGAGGGCAGATTTATTGATGGAAATGTATCTATATACTCTTTGTGGCACTTTGACCTGAAATATCCATTTTGGTTATAATTTTGTTTTGTGAAAATGACATCAACTGCAATCACTAATGTAAAAGTGACACTGGAATGCTTTGTTCCAGAGGCCCGATTTAAAAATCTTGCTGCTGTTTGTTATAGTAACAGCTTCTCAATAGCAAAGAATTAAGGTACTCATTTAGCTGCTTCTTTTCTCTCTCTGTAGGCCACCAAATTGTTCTTTTTTTTATTTTTTTTTTTTACTGTTTAACATTGTTTAAATAATAAATATATAGCTTGTTTCATAACGACATTGAGGTAACCAAGAGAAAGGAGGCAGGTGCTCTGGCTGGTATTATATGTGGATATATTTTTGTATGGCTTTTCTTCCTAATGCCAGTTAACCACCCACCCAAAGCCATAAAAAACTTCAATAGGAATGGGTAAGAGAGAATGGAATAAAATAAGTACAGAGGTTGAGAGAGGAAAATGGCAAGGAAGGAGGCAAAGAAAAAGCACAATGCAGAATACAGGGAACATAGGAATGTCTCATTTGTGACTTCAATGGGTTTTGTTTGGTTGGGGTTTTTTTACAAAATCCTCATCGATTCACTGGACTCTGGTATTCATATTGCAGATCTGCAATGATGTAACTAAAAAGCAGAATCTGGCCAACCCTCAGCTTACAGAATAGGTAAAAACCACTAGGAGCAATGTGAATTTTTCAGAGGAGCTCTGTTATCCGGTGAAGTACTGGTGTGAAGGTTGGGTTTTTTTCTTTTTACTTACTGGATTTTTTTCCCATAAGTTGCTAGGAAACTAACTACTGGCACTTAGGGGTACTTAAGAAAAACAAAAGAGTGGCTAAGGTGGGGAGAGAAGTGTAGCATCTGACTACACTTCTTCTTTTCTCTGGGAGGAGATACTGTGAGATTTTTGGGGGTAGGGAAAGGACAGGGCTGCTGGCTCTCACTTTCTCGAGGTTTCAGAGGAGAGTGGTCAAGCTGCTGCTTGGGGAAAGGAATTTCACTACCCCTGTCAGAGTCAGGGTTTGTAAACCAAAGCCTCTCCTCCATCCCTGTGATGAATCATAGATCTCATACAACAGGATAGTTGCACACTAGCGAGCACAGCCAAGCAGCTTCTCCATGTGCACTGGGAGCAGGTGGATGGGAAAGCATCGGATTCTCCCAAAAGTTAGGATCGCTGAGCAGTTCCAGTGTGGTCCCACATCTACACACTGAAGAAGAATCAAAATAAGACTGAAATTAGGTTCACTTTCACACTTTTCCAATCAGATCATGGGTAGTTTGTGCTGCAGAGAAATGCTGACTGGCAAGAACAAACTCCTTATTTAGATAAGAAGCATGTATCTAAAGTTTTGGGTCTTTAGTTCTGTTTTAAAACAGATTTTTTTGTTGTTTTTTCTTAACCCTAGACATTTTAGTTCTGCCCATTTGCATAGGTAATATTGCCATCATATTTATTCACACTGCTCATAAAAGAGCACATCACAAAAGTGCCTGGAAAATAAAACTCCAATGAGAAGGGACCCATCAAGTTTAAATGGAAGTTTATATTGCAGCATTATGAGACAGTGGCTTGCACATTTGCAGCTCCCATGGCAGAAAGTGAAACTCTAAACAATTAAAGCAGCACAGACATCCTGCCCTAAAGGACTGTAAGCATTTAAAAACGCAGCCATGACCTCTCTTAACTGAGCCTGTTTTCTATTTAATTTACAGTCTTTATTAGCCAAGAAAATCTTGGCTGGATCTTAGTCAAAGTGATGAATATACAAGCATTTTGATCTACAATTTGGGGCACTTCAAAGTATTCTTTACTTTATGATCATTTGTAATCAAGGTCAGAGCTCTGGTGGTAATTTAGATACCACCTAAACGTATTTATAATATAAAAATTGCTTTGCAGTAGCATGCATAGTGTCCTTTCTATTTTTGCTCCCAGTAAAATTGGAGTTGTGAATGCTCAGGCTCTCCAAAAGTTACTCCTACAAGTTTGTATAAGCAGCTCCATGCCTAGGTTTCTTTTATTCAGTTCCCACAATGACACACAAAAATTGAGTATATATGCGTGACAAAAAGAAATGGTTTGTTTTCAGTGGTTTATTTATTGAACTATAAGCCTTACTAACACTGTAGGGAGAAAAAGTAAACCAAAAAGCCATAAAATGTTTAAAGAGGAGTTTTTGTTCTTTTTGTCATCTGTTTTTCTCACTTTTCCATATACTTTGCTCGTGCCCTAAGGTATAGCAAATCTCAGAAGTGTTCCCCTTTTTAAGTGCAGGGCCCCTCATGCCAGCAGTGTCTTGCAAAGCAAAAACTAAAGCCGTGATCATTGTTTTAGCACTGTCATCTCAGATTCTAGGCCTTATTGTTTTCTAGATATTGTGTCTTTCTAGACATTATATCTTTTTACATCTTTCTTGATTTATGCTTGCTAGGGCAAACCATCTGTACTTCATGTCTGACCTTTTGACAAGGACAACCCAAATTTGCAGTCCAGCACTGAGCCTCAGTTTCTCCAGCCTTGGCAGGCACAAACCTTGCCCATTCCCTCTGACTCCACTGCAGGGGTGCATTTTCAACGTTTGTATTTTATCATGTTCCTCTTCCACTGTGCACCCTTTCATCAGATCCTTCTTTTCTCTTGCAGCCAAAAACATCCTATGGATATTTCAAGGCCCACATAGGATCTCCCAAGACTGTTTATCCCTATCACACCCACGAGGTACTGACAGATCGATGTGTATCCACCACTCACAACAGATTTTTGCTTGAAATATTGATTTATTACATTTTTTACTTCAGTAGTTTTGTTTTCTTCTGCAAGGCTCCACTCCTATAAGAATCTGCCAAGCTACTACACTTGCCCTTCTTCACATCCTCCCTTAAAACTCTCTTCTGCTGTGACACCTTAAAAAAATGATAGTGGTTAAGCAGCTGATGTGCTGTGACTGCATAGTGATCATAATTATCTCCCAGTTACCTTGTCATTTCTGCCCCTCTCCCATCTGTTTGCTGTCTCTTGTCTTTTGCCTAGATCAAAGACTCTTTGGGGTAGAGACCATGCCTGGAATTCCCGTGCATTTGGATACTGTCCTGAGCGAGGCATCTTGGGTTCTAGGCACTACTGCAGTGCACATCAATAAAAATTACTGTTTCTAAAGTAGAATCCTCTGCATTTTTATATGCATAAATTATAGCCACATCCTGCAATCCATTTTTTTTAGGCTAAACAATTGATTCAATGGGATTTGAGCCAGGGCAGGAGCTGGCCTATAGTCTTTACTCAAAACAAGCAACATAACATATTATTAATCACCCTAAATAGAGACTATCACATTCAGTGTTGCAATCCTACCTGTGGATAAAATAAATACCTTTCCAGAAACCTTATGACTTTTCTCATTTACACTAGGCCAGGCTGCTCTTAAGAAAACTATTGTTCTGCAGGGGATAACAAGATTGCAGTGACTCCCTGGTTGTATTCCCTTTATGTTGATTGCTTGGAAGTTGGCAAAGGGTGGTGAATACCCAGCAGAGTCAGGTGTAGGCCACCCTGTCTCTATCCAAGGGGTCTAGAGGCAGTTCTTCCTTCCCCTTCAAAGTTTTTATCTCCCACTGGGGCAACACAAAATTTCTGGGGGCTGTGGTTCTGAATGTTATTCTGAATTTTGTTAATATTCTCAGATACATCTTTATCCATACTGCAACCACAGCCTGAAAGCTGCTGGTAATAATTCACCAAAGCCTTGGGGAATGAGTTTGGCCAGGAGAGGAGCTGGGGATGAAGCTCAAGCTCTTTGTACGTGCCTGCATCAGATCTGTTGGTGGGAGAGGTGGTTCCAGGGGCCACTGTCTCCTGTGCAGTTCCTGAGGAACGACAGCTGTGTGCTTCCTCCTGTGGAACTTGGAAGAGCTGCAAAGGAGGGGAAAGCCAAAGCCAAAAATAAAAACATGCTCAAAAGCAATGAGTAAAATCTGCCAGATTCAAGGAGCTGTACTGCTGGAGACCAGCCAGAAATCTGTGGAAGTCCCCTTATTAGTGCAGTGGCTTGGTTGCAATTGCTTCCCCCATACCCCACCCCTCCTTTCCCCAGGTGAATCTTGTCTTGCATGTATAAGACAGGCTGCAAAAAGCGCACACACTCCCCCCCACCCCAACTCTAGTGTTTGTTTTACAGGCTTTCTGCCTGAAAAGATATTTTTCTGCTTTTCTCTTGCAAATTTTGGGGCTTCCTAAGTTGCTGATGTGTGAGACAAGTCTTAACATACGCAGTAAATCAGTAAATCCAGCCTGTATATGCTTATTTTCTACTCAAATTGATTATTATTTTAACAAAGTGTTAATCTTAAATAAATATTCATAGATCAGGTCACTTTCCACTTCCTTCCAATGTTTGGGTCATTAGATGCTGGGCTGTAAATGAACCATGCAGATAAGACCTAATGTTAAATATCTAGGACTTCTTTCTGAAGGAAGGAGGCAGGAAGGATAAGGATCTCCTTGCTTTGAGCCATAGGACACCTATTGACTTTCTAGCACCGGGGAGGAACCTTTTCTGTTTGCCATCATAAGGAACGAGGTGCTGAATTAGCACACTTGAACCTGGTCTGATTCAAACCCCCCCCCATTTCCACTGGCATAAGGAAACTGCTCATAAAATAGCAAAATTAGTCCAGTGGAATATGGAAACTGAAGTAAATTTCAGGTCCCTCCCTAGCCTTTTACAAATGTTTTCTCTAGAAAAGGGATTTGGGGTTTGTGGTTTTGGTTTCCTTTTTCCCTCAAACGTTGTAGGAATTGCATAATTGTATACTGAATTCAGCTTTTACTGAATTCTTAATAATTAGTCTCTATATACATATATTTTAGGGCTTCTTTAGTCAATTCTTTCTGTGTTATTGGAGAGAAATTTATCTCAATATTTTGAGTGGAATATTATGGTACATCTAAAAATTGCCTATTCTTCCTATCTGGGAAAAGCATGGAGTACTGAGTAGATAAAGCAAAACTTCATATTTATTTTAGATAATTTAGTCTCTAATTATACAAAAGTGATGTGAGAGAGATACACAGAATCTGACCCAGAATGATGACTAGAAAATAATAATATCATCCTAATTAAAAACCATATAAGAGTTTGTTATCCAGCCTTAAATCCCTGACAGACTTGTATGCTCAAATAATCGCAGCATTTGCAGGCTAAAGATTTTGTAAAAGTTTCATAAAAAAAAAATCCCCAATGAATTCTCAGTGTTTTTTAATATTGTGCCTCTTCAACAACAATGATGGCTTTTGGGGACTCTTGCTCACTTATGGGACATGTGGGTCATTGGAAAGCTTGAATATTCATTATGAGATGAGCTGGAACTGGATGTGCAATATGTTTGGTTGAAAACTAAATTTTATGTAAATTCTGCAGTGATGTTTTCTGGCTCAGTTAGAATCCATTCTACTGTTTATCTTTATACTAATAATGGTCTCTTGGGCTTCTTTTTAAGCCTCTCTTTATACTTTTTTTTTCCTTTAAAATGAAAGATGAAGATCCAAAGAAAACAATTTTTAAAGAAGAAATAGAAACACTAGGTAAAAGGAATTAGCAATGCAATCTCTGCATATATTATGTGGAAATCTACTGCAAAATTGCAGCTTGGAATTTTATTCCTAGGACATTAACTGTTTCATGTTTGAGCAGTATTGCTTCTCTGATTCCCCATTTTTTCAAAACCCATTTGGATCTGCTTTTAAAAGATCTTTCTGGATATTTTTGTAATATTTATTGAAATATTCCTTATCCAGAATGATAAATCCAGTTGTCTGGAAGAAATAAAATCTGTGGCATAGCTCTGAAATGAGAATTAACCTTGATTACTACAGTAATTTACTAATCAAAACTAGAGACCTGCTAATCAAGCCTGAATTACCAGCTGCTTGATTTTTATAGTGACATAACCAAAACTGAACATTTGGTAAACAAGGATCTTATTTATGAGAGGGGAAAACTGGCATATGGCCATATTCATCTTAATATATTTCTCACTATATTGTTGTGAGTTCCTTATCAGCTGATGTAGGCATCCTCCTTCTGACTTAAGCCATCCACCTAACCCCAAAGTGCTGAGCACTGAATTTCCCATTAGCCTGGAACTGGAGTCAGAGTAGCCAATTTCACCAATTTTAAGAGGTTTTCTGATCTACCTGTTGTTTTTGGACCCGGGGAGGAGAATTGCTGCTGTATCACAGGAGCCTGGTGTTCCAGGGCTGGCCACAGAGCACCTGGGGCAGAAAGGAGAGGGATGGAGAAGTGCCAGTGAGCAGCCAGCTGGGAGAAGCTGCAGGAGGAAATGGCAGAGCATCCATGGGGGCTGGTGAGCCCGGGGCTGGGCAGAGAGAGGGACCAGCCCCGGGGAAATGTGACACCAAATCACCCAGAGAGCCCCGACCCATCCCTGAGTGCATCCCGTGGGTCCATGGACAAAGCACCAATTACTGCCGCCTATCTGAGGGGCTGGGATTGTGAAAGTATTCATCTGGTTTCCTTAAGTGCAACTACTTTTGTGTTTTGAATGTTGTTTTTTTCCCGGTCTGATTTCTGTTCAATTTTCAGCTCCCTGATGGCATCCTGTATCCACCGACACAGAAAATAATTTCCCAGTATTTTCTTTAATGAATGACCTATTATGAACAAGCAGGAAAAACCCATATTGTGCAATTCTTCCACAGAAAAGCTGATCATTAATATAAAATGGAGAGAAGCCCCCAAAATGGGAATTGTTTTTGTTGTTTGAGCTGTGTATGGTATTTCATTAAGGTGGCTTGTGTGGTTGTTTTGTTCTTTTTTTTTCTTCTTCAATTGATATTGTCATGGGTAATTGTGCTGTTAAAAAGGTAAAGAACAGAAACACAAAAAGATTATTTCTGGAATAATATTTACAGCATGAAATTCTCAGCTAGTCAGGCTGTTTCCCATTCTCTGCTTGTTACTTTAGACCTAATCCCCTATTCTCTCAATTCTTAGCATAGAAAATATATACTAAAGCTAGTGCTGCTTCCATTTTTTCACCATCTTATCTCACAAACCTGAAATAATGTTTTTCCCTTTAAGTCTTGAAGGCACTTACACCTAACAGGAAGGAAGGGGCGCAGGGATGCATTCAAACATGTTCAGGGGTTTATAGCCAGTCTAAACCTCGAAAAACACCAGTTTGTGGTCACTGTGTGTTAGACACGATCTGTAAAGCTTCCAGGGGCCACAGCTCAGCATGGGCCAAGCTCTCCTGCAGCAAGTGCAGCCCAAATCAGAGAAGCAAAATCCTACTGGGATCCCAGACAGTCTTCACAGAGGTTTTAAGTACCAGGAAAACCACAAGCAAAAACTATAATTTGGAATAGTGTGCTATTCCTAATATTGTGTACTCTTGGCAGGAGGGACATCCATGAGGATAAAGATTCCAAATTTCAGGAATGGATTCTCAGGCAGTGACTTAAAACATTTGAAGGCCAACAAACAAAAAAAACCAAGAGTAAATTAAGTGACTTAGAGTTAAGCAAGGGGGGAAATTTCCCTCTGACCACTGGAACAGGACTCTGCTCCACTCCAGTTCACATCCCTGCTTCTCCCTAAAGCCACAGCTGTGCACACAGAAACTTTCCATCAGAAATACTCAGCATTGCCTCAAGTGTTTAGGATGACCTCCCTCCACCATCAAAACTTCAGATGCCCAGAAATCCACCTGGAAATCTGGATCATTTCAGACTGCACTAGGACATAACAGGGAGGACAAGCAGTTACTTGCAAGCAGGGGCTGATGGTTATGGAGGAAGGCCAGTAAAAAAGTACAAAATAAAAAAAGTGGTGCAAAAAAAGGGAGCAAAAATGGTAAAGTGACACCATAATGCTTTACTGGCTCTAAAGCAAAGGAAAATTAGGAAAGCATTCATTTATTCTGTTTCAGCCAAAGGAAAAAAATTAGGGCATAAAAAGAGAAGAAAAAAGTACAGAATGCAGAACATGTGAAGAAAAAAGCCAGCAAAGGAAGAGGAAATTAAGAGAGAGGAGAAACAAGTGCTGGAAGTAGAGGAGTAAATGGTGGAGGGGGAGGCAGCACAAAGAGATCTGATGAACAGGGCTTTTAGGTAAGTGAATTTTATTTGTATGTGTCATTTCCTACTTTTTATTGCATTTCTTTGGCAACCATCCCACAGTTCCATAACCTATGGGTGGGTGGGAGGAGGTGGCTAAGAGGGCAAAATGGTAGTTTTTGGCAGAATATTGACATGACTTGAGTCAGGTCATTACTTGTGGTTGTCATTAGACAAATAGTGAAAGTGGGCTAATGGGGCAGGTGTTTATGAATCCTACAGGCCAGAGAAAGCTCAGTTTTCACAACCTGACTCACACAGAAAGGGAGAGGCCCAAATGATTCAATACAGTGAAAGCAATGGCGAGCAGTGATTTCAGCACTGCAGAGGTCACAGGGACCTATTTTAGATTTCCAGGATGGTTCTGTCAGGTTGCTTCAGCCTCTCAGCAACTTTGCAAGGTGGGCACTGCATAGATTTCTGTATTGGGGACTTCCTTTCTTGCAATCATTGGATGGAAATATTTTTCTGTAGTGTAAAATGAGACCCTGACACACAACTCTATGGCAAAATATGAACTTTCATGAAAAATGTTCTGAATTCCATATTTTCTGGGTACTTTCGTTTCTTTTTGCCCTCTGTTTGACTCTTCACAGGCTTTTCCCCCTAATTATCTTGAATTTAAATTGGAAACATTTTTAAAACATACAGTGTCAAATAAAATGAGTTCGGATTTTTGAAGACTTTAGAACACACGCAGTAGCTGCCACCCTGAGTCAGACAAAATATCCAGTGCTTTCCCTCTGAGAGTGAGAGGAGCAAATGTCTGGGGAAAAAGTGTATGAACTCTGATATATCTCTCATATAGAGCAATCCTTCTTCCCCTGTGTGCTCCTGCCCTCTGAGGATCAGTGTCACAGACATTTTGATTTGGAGGCTGGATCTTGATCATCGTGTTTAGTAGCTAGTGATGGATTTCGTTTGCATGATTTCATGTAATCCCTTTTATGGTCCATTTACACTTTTGACCTCCACACCATCCTTTGGCCATGAGTTCTGTAATTTCATTACACACTGTGAGGATAAAATACTTCTTTTGTTTGTTTTAAGACTGATGCCTGGTCTTTTCATAGAAGCTCCTAGTCCTTGCATTTGTGGGAACTGTTAAATGATTTCTCTTTATGTTAGAAATCAGGTTTTTGAAATAAAAAAGTCTCTTTCAATTTAAAAGCCCTCCAACTGCAACCTGATGAAATTAAAATTAATTAAAGCAGAAGCAGTTTTACAATGTTCATACTGCACAGTCTTATTTTAGTCTTAGTCTTATTTTATATGTCCTGTATGGTTCCCATCTCGTGTCACATCACTGTGCTGGTTTCAGTTCTGTGAGATGTGGAACAGCTCATTTTAAGGCCATTGTCTGTGGAAGAGCTATTAAATTATAAGCATAGTAATGGGAGAATATGTTCACTGAGTTCTCTGCAACAGCAAGAAGGGGAAAGGTTTGGAAAATCCATTAAAAATAGGAGTAGGCTTTGTACAAGACACCTGAGCATGGTCAGACAGCAACCTACAGTGGGGTGGATTGGGATGTGAACTTACCAGTTCCCATTTTCTTACAGCTGGTAGTTGTCCAGCATCCTCTCTGCACCACCCCCAGCCCTGTGTTTTGTGTATTGTTCCAGTCAGATTGCTGAGGAGAGAGACAAAGGACAGATTCCAGGATAAAATCAAAACTGCTCTGGAAATGCACTGTGTGTGGCAGCATTTGGAACAGCGGTGAGAGGTTAAAAAAAAGGAGTTTGACTCTAACCCAAGAATCAAAATTAATGTCAGAGAATTTAACACAACACAAGGTGTGATGGAACAAAGACTGTTGGGGGGTCTCGTTTTGTTCGGTTATGACAAGCATTGTTCAGCACTTTAAAAGACACAACAGTGTAATGGTTTTCACTGAATTGTATGAAGAAACAGGATAACTTTAACAAATATCACAAAACATGTCACGAATCGATTGTATTGAAAATATATTAGGTTTCTTTAAAAGAAAAGATCAGAAAAGGAAGCAGCACAAGCAGGAGGAGAGACAGCACACAAAGATTTACTTCTGAGTGCTACAAAATATTGAACTAAAAATAACATTAAAGATGAAATTTGCAATGAATCTCAAGCTGCTAAATTCCCAAAGGCTGGGTCTGCCAAAGGCTCTGTTGGTTTCCTCTGTTCTTTTCTGTCTTTATTTAAATATTTTATACAGTTGTCTATGTTCATGTGTAGTGCGAACTGTCATTTATATTTCAGTCCACTCTAAAATGGATCTTAGACTATCTCAAGCTGTGCACTGCAGCGAGGAGTTTGGAACTGAGAGGTAAGTTGAAGTGGTAGGGACAAATGAAGACTGATATTTAATGTAGTTTTTGTGTACTTATATTTTGCTGTCATGTATTTTGCCTTAAAACTGATTTGTAATTTTCTGCATTTTGTGACATTATGATAAGATGTGATGCGAGTGGGGTTTCCATTTAGCAAATACATTGATGCATTTTGAGTCGGCGTGGTTGAATTCTGAATTCTGACCTTAGGCTTTCATGTCTAGCCATAACAACATGCAGGTTTAGATCTGCAGTCTTAAATGCTTCTTTTTGTGCTTTGGACTTGCCAAGGTAACCTTTTTAAAACAAGACAGTCTTAAGCTTATTTTAGATTCACTTTTGTGATAGGCCCACAGGGTGCTGAGTGTCCTCACTCCCCTTGCCTTAGGAATACACCTTGCCCAGGAGAACAGGAGCTGGATCCACCACCCTGGGAGAGACTCCCCACCCTTCTGGTGCTGGGGGAGGAAGCAGAGGGACCTGCCGTGTCCCCATACAGACAAATTGCAGCAGTCGTGGTGGCTGGAGCACAGCCAGAGCTCCATAATTGCTCCCTGCAGGCTGGGCTGGGCTGGGCAGGGGTGGCACCGACCCTGCCCCATCCCTGCGGGAGGAAGGATGAGCTGGAGGAAGGAGCTGCTGCTGCATCCTGACCTTAACTCAGTCCTGTTGCACACTCTGCTATCTGTTAGATTAGCTAATTGAGGTGGGATTTTGCACTTCTTTTATACCAGCATGAGGAATAACAAAACTGCTAGTGTTGGACTCCTTTAACTCATATAAAAGCAAGAATCCTTAAGAAATGATGTTGCTTTCTTGCTACCGAACAGTAAATCATGCAGAATAAAAATTTTAAATAATGGCTATTAGATTAGGAAGTCTAAGAAGCTTTTACTACTTGGGAGCTTTGACTATTAAAAATTGATAAATTGCCATTGAAATACAAGCAGCTCTGCAATATGATAGATCAAAGTTCATTTTTTTCCCTAATGCAGAGTTAAGATGAGCAGGCTTACTTTTTGCTCATCTTCTCTGCAGATCAAAAACATTCCTTTCTTTTTATTTGTGTGATCAACTTACTAGACGAGCCCAATGTATATGTTGTGATTGTAGTAAAATTCTCATTCACTAGCCTTTAAGTAGTAATACAGCTTGCTGGCATTATGCAAACCTCAGTACATCTCAGTTCTGCTGTCCAAAGTGGATAGTGTGTCTCCTCCACATAATACAGGTGCAAATTTATTAGTTATCGTTCCTGAAGTGATTTTTCTTAAAATATTTTGACCACATCATTAAAAAGCCAACTCTTCTCAGCAGTGCTTCTACACTAAGCTAGCAGAAAGACTTCAGAATGTTGTGTTTCAGTGGACGGTGTTCCAAAGAAAGTACTCAAACCACTGAAATGTAAACCTTGGAAAGACACTTTGCTAGTGGCTTTGTAGAAATCTATTAATTGCATGTCAGTGCAGCTATATGAGTTTTTCTTTCTTGTGTATTAAATATCTCTTATAACTTTCTCAGCATCTATAAATCCACTCTGTGGCAATTTGTATTTTTAAAAAACCTTTTAAATTAAGTAACACAAAAATATGTAATGAACATGCAACATTAAACACTTTCAAGGGCAGCAAATATGATCACATCCTTCAGAAAATATTTCTAAAATGTGTGATTTCCAGCCCACTAACTTACTTGAAAGTTGTGTAAAAGCTGCAGTTGATAACAAGGTCTTGTGTATCTGGATCTTTGGGTAAACAGTGTCTGCCAGTATAGCTGGAGGAGACAGACATTTCCATTTTTAAGATAGCTCTGTAAAGAAAATCCTTCTGTGGGTGTCCACACTTGGCAGCTGATCTCAGGTCTGACACAGTGTGCACACACTGTCACAGCTCCTGCCATCCCAGGAGGAGAAAAACCCTGCATGTGGCCCCAGGAAGGTTCAATCCTGCAAAGCACTTAAGCACAAAATTAGTTTTAAACTTAAGGAACAATATATAAGTAAGATACAGGCTTTGCTAGAAGATGCAGGATGAAATGCATCTATTCCAGAAGGAGGGATATAATGTGTGAAAATAAATGGTATTGGGAAGCATCTATAGATAGCTGGGGAGGTATTGAAGGAATGCTTCGATTTCAGTTCAAGGAAAACTTAAATTTACTGTATTTTATTTCACATTAATCCTTCAGTCGTCTACCACAGTCTGTGTCTGGCCATGAAATTTTCATCTCTGTAGTGTTATTCTTTGGCACGTAAAGATTTACAGTCTCTGAGCCTGATTTGGCTCGTCTTGGTGTTGATGACAGAAATTCCAATTTTGCTCTCAAAGGGCATGATTGAACCAGTTAACATTTATTTCAGCCTAGCAGAAGGACATATTGCTTATTTTTATATATAAGTATGCCAAAATAAGATTAAGAGACTTGATGAACATTGCATGGTAAGTCAGAGGCACATAGTCATAGAACTAAGAATTCCTTCCTTCCTGACTCTCACTTCCTTGTTTTGTACTGCACTTTTGGTAATGTGTCTGCATTCCCACAGCAATATTCTTCTGGCACGTGATAATGCAATAGTTTTGAAATATGCTTTTCATGTGATGTGTGAAAACATAAAATCTATAGATGTGCAGTATACATGGATAAAAGAATTCCTATTACAATATGTAGCTACAAGCATAATAAATGGAAATTGATGAAAAGGGAATCTTTCTACTGCTGGGATTTTAAAGAATTAGACAAATGTGTGTAGTTCAAATAAGACAGAATTTCTGCTTCTTGTCACAGAAAGAGCTATGAACATGTATCAGAAGAGAAAATAAGCTGCTGCTTGGTAAGTACCCTATGATTTTTTTTGACTGCTGCCATTTGGTCCCTACCAAGCCCAGTACTTACTGTGCTGATCAGGCTGCTGGCTCCTTTTTTGTTATTATATCACTCAAAAATACAGTCTTAGAAAAACTAAAACTGTGCCAATGCGATACCATCCCTTCAGAAATACGTTTATTAATTCATTTACATTTCAAGCTGGAGTTAAATCAGTACATTGATGGAGACAATTCTTGGTCTGGTCTTTTCATGTTGGAAGCAGAAGAGATTTCCCAGAGCAGTGACACTGAATGCTGTTCTTCTCTTAGTTTTGTAGGCAGTCATTGGATAGAACAATATTAGGTGAAGCGAATCTTTTGATCTATATATTTATGCTAAGCGGTTTTAATTCTTATTTTTGTTATTGTTTTAAGAGTAGTAGCAGTAGCAGAGGCAGGAGTATTATTGGCAGTCCCTGTGTCCAAAGAGCTCATTAAAGGACAGCACTCTGGAGATGATGCCCTATCTGACTGGAATCAGCAGGACACAGGAACTGCGTCCCATATGAAGAATAACAAAAGAAAGGGTAGTTTACATTCTTTGATACATTTCTGCTCGATTAACCCCCAGTGGGATTTTACCCCTCCAGTCACATTTTTTTGTTCCTCTAATCTTCTTTTGTATTTGCTCACTGACCCCGAGCATGTATTTGACTTGTGACCCTATTTCTGTTAATAAAATACAGGCCATCTGACCAGCATTCACACCACTCCACTACAAGGTGATGATTACCTCATTGTAAGTGCTGGGACTTAGCAACTCGCTGGGTAAGGCTGGTGGTTGGGTGGCCTGAAGACAAGATAACCAACGAAGGGAGCAGAAGCAGTTCTGAGCTGTGCCTTCAAAACCAAACTGCAGATAATAAACTCCTTCAAGATATCTAATTCTATCCGTGGAACTGCATATCTCCTTATGTATTGTTCAGCTATTAATTAGTTGATAATGTTTAGGGGATTATGGCATGACAAAAAACAATCATAGCTATAATGTGGAAATTTTCAGTATCCGTATGGGCGGTAGCTTATAAAATCAAAATTATCCCATTTCCATTTTGGGTTATCAATTATAATTATATGCCTCATGAAAAAAAAATACATCAGCACTCAGTGGCAATAATTTCAATATAGTGTTTTGAGGCTAAATCAACACTGGAAAGTATAGGTGATCTCTTTCTAGGCAAAGTAATATTTGTTTTTAAACCACCAACAGAAATGTAGGGTGAGGTTTTTAAGAAAAGGAATAGTAATGAACTTATTCATGCTTTCACCAAATCTTTAGACTATGAATCTTATGAAAGGCACTGTTAATTGTGTGTTACATGAAAAAATCATGCCAAAGCCATTTATCAGATATGTAATCTGTGTCTCTGTTTTGTGACAGGAAGCCATTATTTCCACTGAAAAAACAAATCCGTTAAATTTGAACTATTAGATTACAGCAGGGTTAGGGCTGCTTCTGTGCTGTAGAGTCACATCAGGGTCACAACCCAGTTCTAGAGATGTACTGCAAGAGCTTCATATCTGATTAAGACAAAAACCTGATAAAAATGTAATGCAGACTAACAATATGGAATTATCTGATGCAGTTTGGGGGGATAGGGGCAGGGGGTATAACATCATTCAGTTTATTTGCATATGTTTGTTCTTTCTGCTGAAATCAATCTCTTTGAAGGAAACAAGAAAACTTTAGAAAAAGAAAATATTATTAATGCTGGTAAGAGAACACAGAAGAAAATCTTTAGTAAACATTTCTTTTCCAGTGTTGATTATCATTCTGTCTAATGTTTATTTTCATAGTTTTCTTTGATCCAAACACAAATAACAATAAAGTTAGCTTCATTTCTTTGAACTAACAAAACTACTCTGTGGCCAAATTTGGAACAAATTTTTAAGTGGCATTTTTTTTGTTTTTCTTCAAAGCCACGTAGGAGATTTACAGTGTAGATATTTGTGTAACTTGCACCCTCTCCTGTAAAGGAATGTTTCTATGGCTAGCAGTGGATTACCTGCTCTGGGTAAATCCTACCTGCCTGCCTGTCCTGAAGGCTGAGGGCTCTGAGCACCTGGGCACACACTGGGTGCCAGTGCAGGGAGCACCCAGGGCTGTGGCTCAGGGCTCACCCCGTGTCTGTGGAAGTTGCTGCAGTTTTTAGGGACTGACTGTGGCTCTGTGGGGCTGGCTCGTGGGTGTAAGCCCAGAATGTGTCATTCCTCCCTCCCTGCATCCCTATCCCAGCCTCCAGGCAGAGAGGCAGGGCAGGGTGGCAGAGCACCAGAGCCCTGCCATGGGCACCTCTGCCCAGGTTCTACCTTCACCAGCTGCTCCATCAGACTCTGACAGATGATTGTGTGCTGTAGACTTGGAAACAACCACATTCCTAATGTAAATATTGTGCAATTGCAAAATATGTACTACAGTGTTTACCACGGTGCTGGAAACCAGGCCTGTGTTGCTGGGGGTGTTTTAGTCTGTACATATTTAAAAACTCTGCCAAATCACAGATCTGCTCAGGAGACCTGGCAGCACCTGCAGAGGCAATGGTGGAGAGTTTGTATCTGTGATGGGAAGCATCTCTGTCACCCTCACATCACAGCCAACATGTATTCTGGCTGTTCTGTGCCACCCTCCTGCATGCAAATATTGGCCCTGAAAGTGGTGGAAGTTGTGAATGAAGACCACAAAGTCCAGCCTCAGTCAATCAGCTACAGAAGAGCCATATGCTGGATAAACTGACTGCTTTACGTTTTTTCAGGGTATGATACAGAAACATGAGAGGTTTTCAGGTTCTCTAAAATTCACTATTTTTTTGCTCTCCCATTACATCCCTGTGCTTGTCCCACTGCTTAGCCTGGCTGAACAAGGGCGTCCAGTCCAGTGGCTGATTGACTCTGTGAGCAGATCCGAGTTTCACTCTTAAATCAGCCAGCATGTGGTTGATGACAGGGACAAAGCCAACCCTCATCACTCCCTAAGCAAATCTTCCTCTTTAAATTTGACCAAATTATGATTTCACCATTGAAATAAGTGTCAGAATTTCCACCAGGTTCACATGGATTTGGATTTGACCTTTGACTTCTAGGTGCAAACGGCTTCTTAAAGGGTTACTTTTAAATAAGTAAGTGTTTAAAAGTTTCAAGAGATTATAAAAATAATAGCAAATGTGAATAACATGACTTCAAGTATTGCTAAAAAGTGTCATTAGAAAATGGGTGGTTTTAAGGTTAAATCAGAGCTAATCCCAGTGACTGCAGGTGACTCACACTTAAGTAAGAAAGAAAACGTGGGTTTTGAACTGTGTAGAAGAGTTTTGGCTGAACCTTTTAAATTTCTTTGGGAAGTGGGGGTGGTGAGGTGGGTGTGTTAGTTTGGAGTTTTGGATTTTTTAATACTTATAAAAATACCAAATAGAAAACAGTTGTTAACTTCTGTAGTTCGTTCAAGTCAAAATAAAGTACTTCTAGTCCTAGAGGAGGGAGCTCTGAAATGATACCTAAAGGCCCTGCCTGAATGTGCAGAGCTCTTCCCTTTAAAAGATCTTCTCTACTAAAAGCACAACCAAAAAACACTGCTTACTTATTTCCTTTTTTTTTTTTCTTTCTAACACTGTGAAAACAGAGGTAACAGAGCTGATACTTCAGTTATTGTGCAGTTCACTCCATATGAATATGGTTAGGAATGTGGGACTGAAACTGCTTCACACTTCCAGGCTCTGTTTCCTCAGTTGCTGGCAGAGGTAGCGTAGGTACAAAGCCCAGAATGAGTCCACAACTCCCACTGAAGATGTGCCAAGGAATAGAGCTAGAAAAGCTAGAGAGCTTCAGGATACCCATCTCTTGATCAAAGAGTGCGAATCAGCTCACTTCCAAAATTCATCAGCTTTACATTCTTACCTAGTTTCATGTAAAAAATACACAGAACTTCTGACTGTTAGAAAAAGCTCTTGCCATTTCTTGCTATGGAAGGAAACAGGACTTTGGCATAGAGAAGCAAAGTCCCTTGAATTCCATCGTCTGTGTGGCTGCTTGGACAATTCAGAGCTAAGCACAAAATCATGCTCAGTGTTCTTCCTTCCTCCCTTTTTGAAAAGAATGTTTCTACCCTGCATTTCTGCAAAGATGAACAGAAAACCTTGCAGATGAGTGTAGAAACATCTTTCTGAGCCTGCAGAAGCCTTAAGAGCAGCAGTAAGATGTATAATGCTTGGAAACTCAAGAGGGTTGGTTATGCCAGTGCCAAAAACTCAGCATGTGTTACAGCCCAAAATAAATGGGAGTCCATGTAAAGATAAATAGTATATAGCTTACTCTAGTGGTGGCACCATTTTGGAAGTCTTGTGTTTGGTTTTTAATATTCAGCTAAATAATATTTAATGCTGTATTATTTATATATTCAATTAAAACAAAATATTTGCAGTTATTGTGAGAAGATGTTTTGCTGCCGATGGCCCAGGCTGAGGTGGGTGCAAAGCTTTTGTGGTGCCTGGCAAAGGCTGTGGGTGATGTCCTGGCCCAGCTAATTGATGTAGAATATCTCTGTCTTGAAAACTCCTCTTCAGAATGTAGCACCACTGTGCTCTTCACATCTAGGGGCTGAAACAGGAGTTGTGCCTCAAAAGCCTTGTGTTGTATGGTCCCATGGTAATTCCTCTTCCTTTATCTCCAGTAATTTTCCTATACTGAGTCTGGTCTCTCCCTTCTGCTCAGTGGGGGGTGGGTTTGTTCTTTCTCTTTGTTCTATTAATTTTCTCATAACTACTATCTACTGTATTCACATAACAACCACTGTCAAGCTACTAAAACAGTTTTCAAGTATATTAAATCCCCCATTTTAGAACAATAAGGAAAGGGTTTTACTAAATAAATACATAAAGCTTCTCTTAGATCATGCAATAAGGAAACTGAATATAGAGCTAAAGTTCCCAGAAGTTGGGAGGACAAAAGACCTGTTT